TCCCCATTAGTGGAAAATTTGCATTTGAATGAAGTTCAATGTTTTTGAAGGGGACTGTTTCTGTATTCGTAGCTCACACCAAGCTGAGACATTGTATATACAGCATGTATAATGTCTGAACTTTGTGTAAAAAGTCTGTAATATTCCTTCCTATAAGCAAATCATCAGGATAGTGCTGTGCTTGAGAAGTTCAATTTGCATACTCAGATTTCTGACAAACTCTTAATTACATACTGTACCTCTTTGAAATACGCAGTGGAGACGAATAATTTTCTTGCACTCTACTCAAGTGAGAAAAAGAGCTGACATAACTGTAAATCTAACTGGCTTAAATCAACCCCAGAGAAAAACAAAAAGGGTGGTGAAGCTACCATCTAAAATGTAATGTTTGCAGTTAGATCTGAAGATGTGAGCCATAAACTCACCAGCCCTGGGACTGGATAAAAGAAGGCAGAAAATGATTTGGCTGGAAAATAAAATGTTGTTGTGTTTTCAGTTTTTGGTTTTTAATAATTTAAATGGAAAGTATGTCCTGTCAGATGCCTGTTGTATCCTGTTATACAGTCTTACCTGTATTTCTCTTATGGTGTTTAACTGTTTGGGAAAAACACACTATGATAGCATTTGAAGCTGTTAATATCTTGACTGAATACTGGGGATTTTCCAGTAATTCAAAGACCCACTCATATATAGTTTACAGTATTTCACAACTACACTATATGTTTGAAAAATAGAAATACTGTCTAGACATTCAATTAAATTCAATGAGGTGTTTTAACTTCAAAAGATTTTCTTGAAGCCCTCTCCTGTTTTTGCTTTCTCAAAATGTTAAATCAAAACAAGTGATTATACCTCATAATGGAGGCTGTTTTCATTCCACAAATGCAAGACCCCTATTCTCCCTTTGCCATACCCCCGTAGATCCGGTATGGCCTTTCTGAGATTAAAACCACGACAATCAGGAGGTGTGAAATTACATTCATGTTTCAGGGAAAAAATGTCTAATGCAGTGAAGGCACCATGATTTTGTTTGTTGGGAATTCGTGGAAAACTCAACAGAAAATTTTGAGGAAAAATGTAAATATATTTTTTTTTCTAGCTGATACACTTTCTCTGTTACAATTGCACATAAAATGCACAGTTTCCTGTGCTTGGTAGATACCTTTAATCCAGTTTGCAAAGCATTGCTTCCCAAACTTTGATTCAATTTACTTGTTCAAATTCCATCGTCACTTCAAGTAGTATGAATGAGACCATCTAGTGCCACCTATATTTGGTATCAATTGAAAAGTTCATTGACTTGCAGGAAAACCACACCTGGTCTGCCCATCTTTTCTCTTCACAAATTCTTCATAAGCAAAACGTTCAATTAACGCTAGCTTTTGACAAAGAATGTGTCTTCTCAGGACAGTTTTCATGTTTTTTTTTTAAAAGATACTTTTATTTCATGGCCCTTTCTGGACAGCCTTCCCTGTGAACTTGGTATATCTTCTATATTTAAAAGCTAGAAGTATTCAGAGCAAAATCGATCAGTCCACTTCTAACTGGCTTGTCTGTAGTCTCATATTATTATATCAAATCAACTGCATGAGATATGAACATTTTCTGCAACAATTAAGACAGCAGTTAAGCACACAATTAACTGTCACAGAAAATGAGAAAACAAACAAAAAGAGTTTCCAACTATTTTCTCACCACTTCTATGAGGCGCAAGGTGGGGTACACCCTGGATGGGACACCAGTCCGTTGCAGGACAGACACAAACATACTCACACCAGGGCAAAATGCTCTCAGCAACTAATTAGCCTACCAGGACAGTGGGAGGAAACCAGAGCTCTCGGAGGAAACCTCCAGTATGCAAACACGGGGAGAACATACAAACTTCTCCCAGATAGCACCCCACTTCTGGAACGGAATCCTGGGACCCAGCTCGGCAAGGAAGCAATACTCACTGCTGTGCCACCCGATAGAGATTATTATTCAATTACTTTACCTTATTTGAAGTTTTGAAGTGCCCTTCACTTTTGAGTACAGATCTTTATGGTCATTTCTATGTCATCTCAGCCTGTATCACTTGCTTTTTGTGTGTCTGCGCACTATACCTCAGGCTCTTGCACTTTTAACACCTGGGCCCTGCCTGGGGGACTAGAATCATCACACAATCTTCAACATACAGATGACCGATATCCCCACATCAAAGTGTCTAAATATCCCACACTACTCAATGCAAATGACTCATCGGCTGGTCACTGACTGTGCCATCTATTCACTCATTATTCATTATGCTCAGGAGATGATACTAGCTAGGAGACAAGGTAGTGCATACACAGACATACTGCACTTCAAGTGCACTCTCTCTCTCACTGTTCTTTGACACCAGAGAACATCAGATTAATTGCCATATGTATCTTTATACATGAAAGTACAGACATAAGAGGTCTGTAACAAGCCTTGGGGCACTTTACATGAAGAAACTTTATACCCTACTAAAGGAAAATACATTTGGATGAGGTCAGAGGAAGAAATAATTATAGGTTTTGGTATAAAATAAATCTCGTTTTTATAAATCACTTTAGCATAGCTCACTGGGTATGCTTTAAATATTTTGTAGGTAATGTCTGAAACTTGTTTTCTTGCCCTAATGTAAATCTAATATGTTAGTTTGATTGTGTTGGCTTCTTAATCTCAATGACATGTTAGTACTTTGACTTGTACTGTACTTCCTGGTCTCGGTGGAACATATCAGTAAAAGAACACAAAAAGCTAACCACTTCTGAAACTCTTTTGAAACAAGCAAAACTATCCTCCTAATTTGAAGGACTACTGTACTATAAAGAAACAAAGTGGAATCCAAATCAACTGGGAAATTAACACTGGTGTCTGTGAGATCATTTTAGAGGCTCCTCTATGGTGTCATGGCCTGGCCACTTGGTGTGGTGTCTGTGCTGAAGCTTACAGATCAAAGCAGGTGTTTGGAGTGCAGTGCACTCCTAAAAATACCGTGATCAGGACAGAACTTGAGTGTCAGGGAGAACAGGAGGAAACCCGAAGAGGCAACGTCTGTATTCTAACAACAGCCTCCTGAGGGACTGAACCAACATCAGGGAGACAGGCAGATAAATTATAGGAACCACTCAGTTACAGTTAATTTTGACACGCAGGAATGAATTAAAACTCTACATCAAATGTGCTTTTATGAGTAAATAACATTCAAATCATTATTCCCTCTCTGTCTTTGTTCATAGTTCAGATGAATACCTGTTGTCTTCATTTTTGTAAATGTGCCGCAGGTAACTAAGAGTTATGTTTTTCCAAGACAGCATTAAACTATAAAGTGAGCGGGACACAAACAATCCCTACTCTATAATAATATATTATAATCGGTGTAGATTATCATACTGTAGAGAGCTGTGCATCCTAATCATTTTACAGCTTTTGATCGATCTTCATTGGACAGTACTCATACATAAGATTTGGTTTACGTTCTTTTCCCCTCATACAGCCTTTAAACCCTTTTTACGCCTGTGATACTATGATGATTGAAGAGATAATAATTAGGATTTTACATTCAGTCCTATAAAAATTAAATGTTAGATTTAATTACATAGTTGCTTTTTGTAATTCTCACTTTTTACCTTCGTGGGGACAAGCAGACTGAAATTGGAGGATTGGTGCAACTTTTCAATAAAACCCCCAGTTTGTATAAAGGATTATAGTCCATAAAGAGTCAGCATGCCACTGAGCACCATAGGACTAATTTGTTTCAATAGTTTATTTTTCATCCAAGCCAATCACAATCTAAAAAATGACTTGAAGTTAGACTTTTACTAATATCAGTTCAGCTGAATTTACAAAAATAGATGAGGAGCTGTCTATGCTATTGATGTCCAGAAGCGAAATACTTGGGTGCTGTTGTATAAATTGTGTCAGTTGTACCCACAGATGGCAGCTGGGGTTTTTTTTTGGTCCTCTTGTAGCTGCCAGACAGCGGAAGCCTGTCGAAATTCAGAAGCTCTTGTTGCTCCCAGAGAGGAGAATCTGATAGATCTCACAGGTACTTACGAGCTACCAGAGAAGCTTGACAAGCTACAGTAAATGATGAACGGTCACAGGACTACATCCAGATCTTGTGTTGTACAGATTGTGAACAATTCTCCTAGGGTTTGCTAACACGAGTCTTCTCCTTGATGGCCGTGCATCGCTTACAGTAAGCCTGTGACCAACCCTAATATAACACGTCTCCAGAGTACAATAACTTTAGAACAGATTAAAGCACTAATACTGCTTTGCATCACTTATCACCCACTTTGCACTTACAGAGGGGGGGTTGTGCATTACGGAAACCCTGCGGTCTAATTTCTGAATGAACTTTAGCTCAGTACATCATTTTAACGTTGCCTTCAAAGTGATCAGTTTGCCAGAAATGAAGAGAACTACAAGGCATCTTAAAAAATCATTAAATGAATACTTTTGTCTCTACTGCCCCAGTGCATTCTATTCCAGTGCATTAGTCCACTACATAGTAGCAATAATCACACACAGATCATGAGAGCCTTACTTGGTTTTAGTTTTATCCTGACAGTGTTGTTAATGGATTTTAACGGATATATTCGAAGAGAACAACTTAAAACTATTCCCAGATTTATTCAGGGAACGCATTTGGTGTTCTGTCCAAACCCTGCTATCTGAAGGGAGCTTGGAATATCCTTCTGGGAAGCATTTGCTTTTTCCCTTCTGCTCCCGAACGTCTTCCCAGGGCAAAGTCTCTCCTGCGGTTTAACTTTTTTGTAGTGTTAGAAATAGGAACAGGCGTCTTGGAAGGGGGCTGCCTGCGTGCCCATCAGATCCCATATATAGTCATATCAATGGTCAAATGTTTGGGAACAGCGAATCGCCTGACAGATCCATAAAAAAGATAGGGCACGGGGAAGGGACCAGAAGAAACCGTTTCCAAAAAAGTATTGTATGTCCAAAGGAATTCAGTCACCCCCCTGCGAAAGTACATATTTGAGAGGGTACACGCAGAAAGAGCTTGCACTCCAGTTTGGCGTTCGGTTCGGCACAGTCGCTCTAAGCCTCTCTCCCCGACCAACCTCTTCATTTTCAGTTTCTTTTGGAGCATTTTGATCGGCCCCACCGCAAAAAACAGCCATGGATGCCATTAAGAAGAAGATGCAGATGCTTAAGCTCGACAAGGAGAACGCCTTGGACAGAGCTGAGCAGGCAGAAGCAGACAAGAAGGCAGCCGAGGACAGGAGCAAACAGGTCTGCACTCTTTTGCTAGTGTGGGGATAAAAGCGATCCACAGACAGCGCGAACGCCGGTATCGGTGTTTTCTGTAAAGTGAGCCAATCCTAAATGGATCACCTCTGCCCTGTGGATTAATAGCACTTTTCCCAGAAGATCGTACGAGATAAGGAGCCAAATCATACTGCTGAAAGTGAAAGAAATGTCTTTAAGTGTTCCTTTGTCTCTCGTGCTGGGGATATATTGAAGTAATTTAGGATGGGAGACAGCCAAAATCACATTTAAACAGAAGTTATTTAAGGTTTAAATGAAAAGAGCTTTAATACGTGCGTAACGATTTAATGATAAATAGTTTAAATTAAAATTATGTACCGCACGGAGTACGGAGTTTGTATTTGCAGTTTATATAGATCATATTAGCACTTGTAGTAAATGAATGCATGAAACACAAACGTGCTTGCAACCGTTTTAAAAAATGTTCCTACGTTGATGTGCCAATACAGAATAGTCAATGTCAGTTTTATACAGTTTTGATTGAGCGAGTCGTGCTTGTATATATTTTTTGAACAAACTTCTCATTTTATGTACACATATAGTTAGAGGATGAAATATGTCAATTGGAAAAGAAATTGCGTGTTACCGAAGACGATAGAGATAAAGTGCATGAGGAGTTCCAAGTCGCTGAAGAAAAGCTGCTTAGCGCTGAGGAAATCGCCACCAAGGTATCTGGCTGTTTCTGAAAGCTTCTCCTCCTAACTCAAAGTCCTTCTCTTTCTCTTTCCCCTGTCTCTGTCTGCGCCTCCGCGCCCGTGCGCGGACTCACGCACTCCGTTTCCTGCTGCGCACCCTCTATCTTTCAAATGACCCTCTAAAAACACAAATCAGCTCGAGGACGAGCTGGTAGCTCTGCAGAAGAAGCTGAAGGCAACTGAGGATGAACTGGACAAGTACTCCGAGGCCCTTAAAGATGCTCAGGAGAAACTGGAACTGGCTGAGAAGAAAGCCGCCGACGTAAGTAAAGGGGGGTCGCTCTGAACACGCCATCCTTTCCAGTCACCGCTTCACCACAGACCTGTCTTGTCCCAAATATTTAAAATGACAGTATGGACAGAACTGCGCGGTGTTGTTGTTGTTTTTTTTTTTGTATCTGTAAGTTTCAAGTGCCCATTTGGCTCGAAACTTACATTCTAATGTCCATGTATGATAATACGCGTTGGGCTGTACCTGTGCTCCGCCCGTTTTGGTATCGTACCTAACGGGAATGCTTAAATTAAGAGGAGTAAAATCAATGTGGAACAGCTTGCGAATGACCTAAGACAATTTAAGCTCCGAGTTCTGACTTGAAATATCAGGAACATAAACCTATAGAACTTGAATGGATGTTGTATTTGCGTCATGTCCAAGAAACTGTCATTTTATGTATTTGTGCTGTTCAATCACAGTTTACACTTGATCAAATTCGCTTGTGTTGTTAAAATGTGTATTCTTGTTTTGAAACACAGACCATCGAATACCTTTGACGTGGAAGTCCTTTTTTTTTTACACGCTACCGCCAAGAACAAAAACATCATCCATAACCGAGATTCAAGCCTGAAGACAAAATTTGCTAGATCTGCAGTCTGTAACCGGAGTGCAAGACGATGGTTATATATAGCTCAGTGCTTTATATGGTAAAGTTCGAGCTCATTCGTTTGGGTTCGATCTCCCTTAAAGCTCAGAGCGCCCCAACTGCGTTAAAACCTAAGCACATCATGCATTTAAAAGAAGCATGATTAAGAATCCCTTTAGTGTTGTTAAACGTGTACAGTATTGTTCTGACTTTATTAGAAAGTTCGTCCAATCGTATTAATTCATAGACACTTAAAATTTTAAGTTTTCGGTAATTTAATCTGGCCATTGCCCAATTCAAGGATAGGTTTTTCTTACAGTACACATGGACGCATGCAGAGCTTCAGGTATGGTTTAATTTAAAATGGTAATACTCTGGTTGTAGAATGAGGACCGTACAACCATATCTCACTGACTTAAATACAGGCCCCGTATATAATTAGACATCTCGTGTAGATGGAAAGACCCGTGCTTTAGAGGAGAATACTCCATAAAAGGAAAACTATGCCAACTATTTATATACATGTATGTTTGACACACGGGGACAAGAGCAGCAGTCTCCGTTCCAAGATTTCCTCCTGTATCTTCCCAGAGCGCCGGAAATGGTTTACAAGTTTCCACTGATGTCTTAAGAATCCCATTTTTCTAATTTAGTGGTTTAGTTCCTTTAGGGATGTAGTAACAGTAATTCTCCACAGCTCAAACTCCTAGTCAGGGCAGAAAATTAACAGATAATTAGCGATAGCTGCGCACGCAGGACTTCATTTGAAGCCCATCGAAATAATAGACTCCAGATGACAAACAGAAGCCCAGCTTATGTGCCTGATGTCGCTTTATTTCAGACAGATGGAAAATACAGTTCTCTCAGCGGAATATTTTTTTTAAGGAGCATTGGAGAAGGATAGATCTGTAAGGTTATAAATGTGTCCCAAGAGTTATTGCAACATTCTGGCAGTACATAGTACATCCTGTCTTGCAATCAATTAAATTAAAACGCTTTTCCATCTTACATATGACGATTATTATTATTATTATTATTATTATTATTATTATTATTATTATTATTATAATGCGCCCTCTGCCTTTTGATAACTGCACTGCAGTTGTAAGTCAATTATATAGTAATTGGAATTGTTTGTTATTATTAAAATGTAAGTAAGGCTCTCTCTGTATTCGGGTAATTGCACTGAAACCGGCAGAAGGTCGCAGGAGGTTCCAGATGGTTAGCTTTCCGTCATGACCATATATAGAAGGAGTCAACATTAAAATGTTAATAATATACTGTTTTACTAGAAGCTAAGACGTGATAATTCAATACAAGCTTATCATAACTGTTAAATGAATCACTCCCCGTAGACAGATTTTATAGAAAGATAAATAGCGCTTGCAATTAGCCTACAGCGTGCTTCGGAAAATGCCTTTGAGTACCATACCCCGATTTGCAAAGGTGGATGAAAGATTTGGGCAGGGTGTTGTACCGCTCGGACCTTACCAGCAGGTGGCGCTCCACGCCTATGCGCGCATCTCAGGAATGTGCCATTGGAATGTTAATAGCTAACTAACTAGGCGTGCCCTCTTTTCTGACCATACAGATTCTCACTTTATCCAGTGCACTATTGCAGCATTCTGTGCATTTATTCATAAAAGTCAAGCTAGCAAAGAAAAGACATGGTCGTACAAAATAGCAGCGAGTCCCCGTGGTTAGTTTGTGTGTTCTCGCCTGATGCTTCGCTATAAAAACAAGGTTACTTCCGGTATAGTGTGTAGACGTCGGTGTGTGTCCCGGTGTACATTCTCGTAGAACAGGACAGTATTTTTTTTTCGGTACCAGGGCGTTATTGCGCTCTGTGTGTCGATTTGAAACAGGCTTTAGAAATATATAACGTTGCGGCTTAAACTTAACACGAATATAATGGCCGGGTTAACGTCTTTGGAAGCAGTGAAGAGGAAAATTAAAAGCTTGCAGGAGCAGGCAGACGGTGCTGAAGAAAAAGCGGAGAGGCTACAGAAAGAGCTGGATTTCGAGAGAAAAGCGAGAGAATCTGTAAGACGATATTAAGTTCGTATCATGAGAATCTCAATGCCATTGTGGGAATGATTAGCTCGAATTCTTCGCTTTTTTAATGCAAGTGTCTGACCTTTCTGCTACCTGTAAATGGCTTGTGTAGTTGGCAATGATTTTGATGTGGGGAATAATTATAGGTAGCAATTAATTGTGGATCTAACTCTTACTGTCGTTTTGTTAAATCTGAAGTTAGATTTTAGATTCGAGCAACGCACATTTAACGGATTATGTCCAGCCCGACTTTATTTTCTACACCCCTAATGGTTTACACCTGTGACGAGCCTTACTTGTTTGGCAGCATCTTAATTCTAGTCGGGACACTGTTACGGCCTGTTCATTAGTGTCTTTGTCCTTGTTTAAACTTGAGTTGTACCTCAGGTTTGTGACCATTTTAAAACGCTGCAAACGCTCACCTAATGCTACGCATTCTTTTGACCTGTTTTATGGGCCCTGAGGAGCATGTCATTTTTTCTCCAAACATAATTGTGGTTAGTTTGTTCATTGTTTTTTTTTCCCCCTGACCATGCAAATACACTATCCCCCGAAACAAGCCACAACTGCTTTGTAAGGAGGTCCCATGAAGATTGAAGTTCTAGGAGACTCAGTATGGAGTCTTTCTGAATAATGCAACTACGTTATACAAATATGTTCACGCTCGGCTTTTAATGGAATCCTTTAATACTTAGAGGTGACCATACGATATTACTTACTGTACCTCCACAACGTGGTATCAACTGCTTTTGTGATTAAATGGTATCAGCAGCAAGTTGCTGAGCATATTCAGTCTTAAAACAGTTAATTCTGTATTTCTGCTTAACCTTGACTTTACTTTCTTCAGTAAAGTGTTGGGCAGATAGGAGAGAATGTGCGTGTTATTCATTAGCTAGAAGTCACAAAGTGGCTTAAATGAAGTTGTTTCCTTATTCCAGCCAGTGCTGGGTTCCGGTATGCTGGAAGAGCAAGGGCGAGTCATTTAACCCGTTTGGCTACATCGAATCAGGGTAGTCTGGACTCTGTTATCTGAAACATCAAGTGCCAAGACGAGACTGCATGACCTCTAAATTTCTGCCGTGTATAAGAATTCCGTCTGCAGTTCAAGCCAACACACCCAATCTGGTTGCAGCAGATATTAAGTATTGTGTTCAGCTTTTTGTCAGTCGGTCCTTTGAGATGGGTGTTCTATACGATACAGCAGCCGAAGCAGAACCGTTAAGAAAAGCAGGTTTTTTACAGCAAAGGGAGGGTGAGGTGAGAACTGATGCTAGCACTCAGACCGAATGTGAGAACTACGACAGACAAAGCTGTTGCTGGATGTCGGTACGATTTTTCTTTCTGTTTCGGCTTTACCTTATTAGGACAAGAAGCGTTGTCAGGAAAGGCATTGCTGCTTGGTTAGATCAGGGAAACCCTGCCAGTCCTTTCAGATTACACAGCAGTGCTCCTTGAGACAGATAGTATGAGCTTGCCCTTTGTGCTTTCTTAAGATTTTGTTTTGTTTCCAGCACTCCAGAACAACATTTTTATTTAGAGGCTGAAGGGGAAAAAAGTCAGCTCATTGAACTTTGTAGAGAGGTTGTAGAACTGCCCCCCTCAGAACAAATCTTTACTTCACTGTTTCTTTTAAAAGTGGGGGTGGGGTGTACAAGATCAGATAGATGGACAAATATTGTGGTGTAGCACCACTCCCCTCTGTAAAACAGAACTGCCTTGTGGTTCCCCATATCGCAATTTTGAGCTAAAGCTATAATTGGACTTCGCTCTGAGCCACACAGACATACAAGCCCTGTGTGTAGGTAGCAAATGAGATGCAGGCTGCCACTTCCTGTGAAATAAAAAAAAGTATTTCCGCTACAGCTCGCACTGCACTAGCTGTTTAGAGAGAGGGTGAAAGCTTGAACAAAGTTTAGGTGATTTGAACAGATTTTTGCAAAAGTATCATGAGGCTTGATCCTAACAGGGAGTGGAAGAGAGGTCTTGTGCTTTGTGCATTCAGGGAGCTACAGTACATCTGTGATGAATTACTGGAGAATGAGGAGGGTCCCTTTTGGTGATCCTAGGTCACCGTAGGTTCAAAATGTGGTTATAATCTTGCCGTGTGAGAAGCATGTTGCCCATTTGCTTTCACCATCAACATGGAATTGTAGACATTTTGCTAAATGCCTGTTTTTAGGGCCAACAGGAGAAGACCATGCCCACCTCGCCCCCCCACTCAACAAATCCTTTCTTTGTTTCATGAATCAAATGCCTTTTATCATATGGCTTGGGTCTGGACCATTTACATAAACACAGGCAGGTGTGTCTTTGCATATATGCAAACTTGGATCATTCACTGGGTATTGAAGTGCTGGATAGACCTGGATTACTAAAAGGGCATGTAGGGTACAGTTCTGTCTTCTTTTCAGGAACACAAGGCAATAGGCAGTGTTCATTTTCTGTTCTTGGTCACCATAGCGCGTGACTGGCCCCTTGCAGGCTGCCGTTCTTTGCCATGAATCCAGAGCTGATTTGGTCCGTGAGCATTGTTGCTATTGTGTAGAATGTGGAGGTCCGCGGGTCTGTTGCCTCTCCAGCGGGTAGCAGGGTCTGCTGCCAACTGACCAGGCCGCACAGAGGGACTCTACCTGGTAAGTCAGGGGCCTGGCATGGCGGCGACCAGATTATTTTTGGCACTGTTTCAGTATTTGAACCCCACACTTTAGACTTTGTTACTCTAAAATTAGCTCTCACACTAGATTATAGGATATGGCTGATGGAACAGGATTATTCGTTCGTTGCCATGAGCACAAATAAGATTACAGCGGATCTGATGCGGGTTGACGGATCCAGTATTGAATGAATGTTTCCGTCTCGGTCTGTTTTAGTCCGCAGCTACATGCAGCACTTCACTTCACATCACAGCTGCTGAGTGAACCCAGAGCAGGTGGCACTGATGCATGACTGTGTCAGAAATCCCTCCGATGGCTGTGGACAGAAACCTGCTGGGAGCTCGACCTCCCCGTGTGCTGGGGTGGTCCTGTCTGCGTGTGCGTGATCGCGGTGTGCGGCGCGCTCCCGCCCACGTGTGTGCAGCAGTTTCACCGCTCCTCTCCCGTTGGCCCGGCCTAGGCTGAGGGTGACGTCGCCTCCCTGAACAGACGCATCCAGCTGGTGGAGGAGGAGTTGGATCGCGCCCAGGAGCGCCTGGCGACCGCGCTGCAGAAGCTGGAGGAGGCTGAGAAGGCAGCTGACGAAAGCGAGAGGTGTGTACGGGGACGGCCGGTGGGCATCCGGCAGCCCCCTCCTGCGCTGGTGCTGCTGCCGCGGCGGCGGCGGCGGTAGTGTCCTCCTCTCTGTGGGCGGCATGCTGAAGTGGGAGGTTCAGCGCAGAGTTTCGCTCTAAGCAAGTGTTCCCACTTCCCCCCCTCAGAGCAGCGCTTGTGTTCGCCCATTGTTACTTCTCGTTTCCATTTCTGTAGTTGGCTGCACCACATCTTCCTGAGAGAGAGAGAGAGCTTTTTCTTTTGATAAACGGAGGCCTTGCTCCCGAGGTCTCCCTGTGTATCTGAACTACCCCCTGGTCTCATTTTGACTGCTTCAGAATACGGCAAACGAGATGTCAACTCAGAATGCCGTTGGTAAAATGAAACAGACCAGCAAAATGCATTTCCTACAGGGTTCGCAGGGGTGGGGCTGGTAAATTATTCTGTTCCTGGCAAGGGACAAGGTCAAGTCTTTTCGGGGGAAAAAAAAAACATTTCTGGGGTGTTGGAAGTGATCCTAATGACCTGCTAAGCAGCCTTAAGTCTGAACCAGATTGTGGCATTCTTTGCAATTCTGCTAGACATTAAAGGGCAGCTTTCAATCCATGGTATAGTCATACTATTTAGAGATGTCAACAAAAGGAGCTTGTTTTTGGAGAAACAATACGATTCTGAATAAACAGCGCTTCAGTCCACACAGGCCAGTGGTTATACTCCTTTGTTTTGTCTGTAAACAGTTCTACTGTTTCAGCTTCCTATGCCTTAACATGGATCAGCTCTTACCCTTCATGAGTTTAATCTATTTTGTAGTTGTAATTGTATAATAAAATAATATTCTGCAATACACTATCAATATTCAAAAGACATTTTGCCTCCTTTGGAATTCACGAATGTTTGCTGTTGGGAAAACTGAATTTTTTGTTGTTCTGTTATGTATGGTATAGATCACTAGTTGAAGAGGCCGCCTGCTTTAGTCTGGATATTTCTGAAATGCAAGAACGTATGGGCCATTGGCTCTGTGTGCACACGGAGATATAGAGGTGCTTGCTTGCTTTTGATATGGTGCTAACTGAAGGTTTCCGTCCTCTCCCCTACAGAGGAATGAAGGTCATTGAGAACAGGGCTCTGAAGGATGAGGAGAAGATGGAACTGCAGGAGATCCAGCTGAAGGAGGCCAAGCACATTGCAGAGGAGGCTGACCGCAAATATGAAGAGGCAGGTTTCTGAGCAAGGAATGACAAATAAGGCAGTAAATTTCCAGGACCCTAATGAGCAATACCTGGGCTGAGAGGCTTCCTCTTGGTTTGTAGACATTCTTTGATCAGGAGGTCTTTAAATCTGTAATTCTAGTTCGCTGATGTTTGTCCAAGCATTTACTCTCAGTGCCCTAACAGCGTGGTGGCACGGTAGCTCTGTGCCACTTTGCGTGTGCCAAGTCCGTGGAGGCTGGTCAGCTTCACGGTGGCAGATTAAAACTGTTTTTGCTCTCTCGTAACCAAAGGTTGCACGTAAACTGGTGATCATTGAGGGTGATCTGGAGCGTACTGAGGAGCGTGCCGAGCTGTCAGAAAGGTAAGCAGCCCGGCCCTGCCTCTGCCGCAGCAACGTTGTCTGGCTGCGTCAAAAATGCACGTCCACAGGATTTTTCGCAGATGTGAAGTTCACTCTGGCTCTTACAGTGAGCCAGTGGCCCTGTAGCGTGGACCCCACGAGTGTGGCAGTTCACGCCGTGGCTTCTCCGTTTGCCACTGCATGCGTGTTTTAATTGCATGTTTTCTCTTTTGGAACGGCCTTGCACTTCTCAAACTCACTAACAGACGGGCGCGGCAAGCAGAAGAGCAGCTAAGACTTTCGGACCACAGCTTAAAATCATTAATGGCTGCCGAAGCAAAGGTACTATGACTAACCCTGTTTATTTATCTTCGTCTCCGCACTACCGCAGCTTCCCACGCTGTCGAGTGAATCTGCACTGCTTTCTTTTCCTGCCTACTCCTCGAGCCGTTTATCTTTGTTGTTCTTGTAAGCGACCTCTTCACAGACGTGGGCCTGCGAGTTGCACGGGTAACAGCAGGACTTTCCACTCATTTCCATTCGGGCTGCTTTTCAAAGGCCTGCTTGCAGCACGTCCCCCCCCACCAAAAAGAAAATGTAGCAAGCCAAAAAGTTTCTGCATTGGATTCGGTTCAGGTTATTCGTATCATGTAGAGACGGCCCCGCTGAGCGAGGCCGTCCGCTGCATCACACTGCTGTGCAGGCCCCCCTCTGGTTCCCTGTGTTTTTATTCATTTGATTGTTTCCCCTCTTTTTGCTGTCCTTCTTGTCCCTTTCGTGCTCTTCCTTCTGAACCTGCCCTCTACACTGAACACTGAACCCTCCTCCTCCTCCTCCTGCCCCATGTCTAAAACACCAGCAAATGTGCTGAGCTTGAGGAAGAGTTGAAAACTGTGACCAACAACCTGAAGTCACTGGAGGCACAGGCTGAGAAGGTAGGTCTACGTCCACTTCCAAGGGGTTTGCAGACCACGGCCGCAGAGCACGTTCTCCCTCGGGGTATCTTTTTAAGTCCTGCCCACAAATCGGGTTTGGTTTTTCCATTCAAGAGCTTATAATTTCTGCAGACTATAGCTGTGAAGGCTTTTAATAGCATAACTTATCTGTTCATTAGAAGTTTGGCCTCTGATCTTTCCATGTGAATTGCAACAGTTCTGTGGAAACCAGGCCTGGGATCGTGTTTTATTGTACCAAAAACCATAACGCTCTTTTACAATGAAAATTATTTTTTCCTCTTGTGGTGTGTATTTTTGAGGTCCGTATGAGAAACCGCCACTTTTTTTTGGCCATCCACTTGGAAATGGGAAAACCCACAATGAAAGAAATATGTAATTTAATTCTTGCGAATCATTTTTCCTAATAGTACCTAAAAAACAGGCTTTTCCTTGATTTGAATTGCGTCCTACATCTCACTTAAATCGGTGCTTGATCTACATACTTTGTAACAGCATCAACTTATTTCAATCCTTAATTTGAGATAATATTTATATATTGTAATTAACTCACTTGTTTTAGTAATCCAAGTATAACTACAGAATGCAAGCGAACGGTTTGAGTCGAGAATGGAATGAAAATGTTTTTTCCAGCCTTGTTGCACAGTAAACTGCAGAGGAATGGTGAGCTGCTAGGCTTAATGTGGCCCTCTGACCTTGTGTTCTGCTGTTTGTCTACAGTACTCACAGAAGGAAGACAAGTATGAAGAGGAGATCAAGGTCCTCACCGATAAACTGAAGGAGGCAAGTGAAGGGCGCTGTTCTAAAGATGCCTTCTTAGCAGTGGATTGACTTGTGTTTTGTGAAAGGGGGGTTATAAATTGCCAGTTCTGACGTCTGTACCTTTCCTTCTGCAGGCTGAAACTCGTGCTGAGTTCGCTGAGAGAACAGTAGCCAAGCTTGAGAAGACCATTGATGACCTGGAGGGTAGGACTTGAATCCATTTTTTATTTAATTTCATGGATTACTGAGCACATTTCAGTGTATTTAGTCCTCCTCCTGCAGTTGAGTTTGTTTTTGCTGCTTTCTGAAGCAGCCTGAAGAATAAGGCCAGCACTTCATCTGCTTCTCCTTTTCCATTCTTTGCTGCAAAATAACATCGCTTGTCTCTTTATTTTTCACCGTGGCCTTTTTCTAGTTTTATTTAGATTCTCAGGAGAAGCCTAAATGAGAAGCACTGGTTCCCTTAACACGTACTTTCAATAGCTCTGACACACTGTGTACAATAATGTTTTAGCTAGGTTTATTGTGGTTTGCTTAAGGCTTTTTGGCCCATTTTCCTTATGTGGACCAGTTGCTCAGTGCTAGCTCATTAGGTTATGCAATTCTCTCCTGCATTCAGTCTTTGTGTTATGGGATTCTTTCTCCCGATATACAATAAGCTGCATTCAGGTTAAAGGTTTTTGCTTTTTGGTGCAGTATGTTCAGCAGTATTACCTTGTAAAGAGTTGAAGGTAGTCTGTTAAATATGTAGAGAGAGGTCAGAGCCAGTCCAATAACTGTTGAGGTTCATGCAGTGGGAACACGGATGCTTTTGTACCCGTCTTGGCACTTGCTTTGACTTAAGGGTTTCCTGGTTTTACAAGGTACAAGACATTAAGTGGGTTTGCAGTAGAAGCACAAGATGCGCGAGTGATACAGAACTGGTGACTATTCCCATCAGATCATTCCAGGCTCTCCCTGCTCCCTGTTAACTGTTTTGCCTTTTCTGTTTCTCTTTCTTTCTCCGCTCTCTTGGTTGTCTGTCTCGTCTCTTGCCGACGGACTGGCTGCTCCGTCTCCTCTTCACCCTCCATCTCCCGGTTTTTCCCCCTGCTCTTCCATCTCCTTGCCTTGTCCTCCATCCTCCCCCTCCCCTGTAGATGAGTTGTATGCCCAGAAACTGAAGTACAAAGCCATCAGCGAGGAGCTGGACCACGCTCTCAACGACATGACTTCAATGTAAATCTCCATCTGCTGTCTGCCTGTGCCTGTACCATCTCACCTCTCCTCTCCAGTACTTCACTTCTCATTCACCTGCATACTAAACCAGTTTTGGTAACCCCTTCAGGATCATGTACTTGTCCCCCTACCACTTCAAGCTGTACCTCGATTTCCTGCCTGTCCATCTACTCCTTGTTGATATAACTTCAACGGGCATGCTGAGATGTGGTGTTAAGATCCCAGAATTACGTAGGCCTCTCTGTGATTTCACTCAAAAGAAGGTGAACTGCCTCTGTGAATTTGAATTACCAAATGGCCTCTGCTGCCACACTGTGTTGGCACAAAGTGCAGGATAATGGTGTAATATTTTGAGTTTACATCAGGCCCAATTTAGTTTTTTCAAATACAGCTGCTGCTGTGGAGATATTCACCTCTATGCTAACCATAACTGTAATTTCAATCCCTCATTTCATAGGCAGTGGCTATTAATAAAGTGAATTCCAAACCCCAGTGTAAGACTTGTTTCGGGGAGTATCCCTGAACCCCAGAAAGGGTTGCGAGAGTCACATGATTGGCCTTACTTGTAGCATTGCACAGATGTGGAAAATACCGCATGTCTAAACAGAACTTAACATTTGGATGTAATCAAATCCAAGTAAGGATTTCCATTTGGCTTTGTTTTTTTGTACATTTTAGATGAACAAAGTGATGACTTTTGAATGTTATGGGACCGTCTGACATGTGTTTTAACTCTCAAACTGGAACTTTTTTTAAAATCCACCTGATCATATTGGACTGTCCCTGAATCAATGCATGCTGAGATATGCCAAAATGATCCATTCTGCAATGGATGCTTTCCAATTACAGTATGAGGGGATGAATTTCAATAAACACTTCCCTGGGTTAATTTTTTTTGTGAGTGCAGTGTTTAAATTGTCATTTTTTTCTGAAACCTAAGTGGTGTGTTTCTTCTACTAACGGTATACTGTTACAGTAACAGTAATATTGAATAGAGACTGCAGGATCCAAGATGCATGTGGTTCATTGCAGTTAAGATGCAATCTTCAAAATGGGTTCCCTTTTTTCAGTTTGTCTGCTATTTCTTACTATGTGAATCTGCCAAACTTGGATCGACCCAACTACCAAATAGTGCATTCTCATCTTCCCATCATCCTTCATACCTCCTTTTTTCAAGTGGGGAATTCAGTCCATTTATGAAGCGATAAGCATGATTTTTATGGAAATTGGCGTATTTTTCTTCTACATGAGGGAAACTTTATAACAAATTTGATGGTGTTTTTGAAAAATGTATCCAATAAAGGGAATGAATCCTCCACTGAGTGTTTTAGAACCGTTCAGGTACCGTACTTCCGAAGCTGCAGTCTGTGGCTGGAAAGGTTACAGTATTGGTGGCCGATACAATTTTAGCTATCCTCTGCCTTGCTTTTGTTGTGTGCTGTGGCTTGCACGTCTCGTTTTGGACATTTTATTTTTGCTCTTGCTTGCTGGTTTCCCTTGGTTTCCCATCATGTTCCGTTTGCTTTTTTGTTTTCACACAGATAAATTGTTTTCTCTGCATCGCTCCAAAGACGTCTCCTGCTGGTTGAGTAGGCTGCACTCTGCGCGCTCCTGCCTTTCTCAACTTCTTACTCGTTCTGTCCTTGCTTCTCATTTTAACACCCCGTGTCGGAGTGTAGCCATCAGCTGTGTATTCCATCTCTTGTACAGAACCTTTGAATTCATTTTGCCATATGTAAAATAAACTTCCTTCCATCTATGTAAGCTATACCTCTCTATTTATTTTCTTTTTTCCACTTTTGTGCTTTAATTTGTTGTTGAGTGGCTCTAATAAAACAGAGAAGCACTGTCTTTTGACTCGTAAGGGACCCATTTCTGTTTTGTTTTATTTTCCTTTCGCAATATAACTATTTTGGCTGAAACGTGTTCGAATGGCAAGAGTCGGGTTTTGATTTTTGCTTTTGAGTTCCATTAGGCCTGTTAGGCAGCACAGGATTCTGCTTCAGTGTTTGTTTTTTTAGTAGTAAAAATGTTGGTGGAGACCGTCACGAGAGCCTGTTATAAAGGGCTTATTGTCTAGTCCTAGATGCCAAATTCAGACCTCAAACCTGTATCGGGCCTTTTGTTTCGATATCCCGTATCGGTTTGTGAGCCTGTTGGAGATTAAGGGCAGTGTCATTGACAGGCTAGTAATAGGTCGTGACTCTGTAGTTTGCATTTGTATACTAATAAACATTTAAAATTGCTTCAGTATCGAAATGTAACAAGATATTTTAGTTTGTAGCTGCTTTTTTTTTAGCAATTTTTTTTAGTGCAAGATGGCTGATTGCTTTCAGTGTTGCTAAGCATAAAATGCAGTGACTACTGTTTCACTCCCTTAAAAGGCTTTTGTCTGTAGAATATGCTAAAATATACCCACTTAGACTTTATGATACAGTTGGAATAACATGTTCATCTTTACTAGATGTTGAAATGTATTGGCTACCAGTGATACTTCTTTTTCTTCCTTTGCAGCTGTTAGAGCTAAAATACTATTTTCTGTTGGTTCTCACCATGGTTGGAAAACTGACACCTTTCCACTGGGACAACAATTACAATTTTACACCACTTTACACATTCAGAAACAAATGATTTTTTTTTATGACTAGTGGTGTTGGACAAATTGTTCACTGTGTTCCATATACACCATGTTAAATTGTACACCACCATTCACAATCAATTCTTTTTATATAAAGACCTGCAGAACTCCCCTATACAGCTTGGCCTCAGTGTTTAATATAAGAGTTTAGACTTTCCTCCTACATGTGAGCTGCGAGAACCATCCATTTCTTATTCACACTGCTGGGCCCACATTGCTCACAGCAGATTTGTGTAGAACTCTGCTGGAGTGTTGCAGCTGTTGCTGGCAAAACTCCAACATCATGTACCTAGCAAGTCACAGGAATCTGTTATGAGTTTATCTGGAGATGACCTGCCTGATTCAGCCCGACCCTTGTGGAATTTAGCCAGCTGCGTGCTGTTGGATTGTGACATAGCTCGGGTCAGAAATAAAACGATGAGAACTAAACAAGAGGATGGAACCTGAATGTGAGTCCTCCAGCACTTTAATAAGGCTTGTAGCATTCTCTTGGATGCATTGGTTCCATTTCAGCTGGAGCTCCTGCAAATGAGGATTGAGCACTTTCACACATCCTGTAGTCTGGAGGGTTTGAGTTATTTCAAATTGGTTTAAAAGTATTTCTACAGGCGATGTGCAAACAGCTTCTTTTTCAGTTGGTCAAGACAATGCTTAAGCAAGTGAATTCACCATAACGTTTTTTTGGAGTACTTTTATGTGGTTTTTCAATGAGATGAAAGCAAGTACACACAAAGGCAGAAGTAGCTGAGCGTACTAGAAAACATTTGGCCTGAGCAGTTGTTGATATGCTGCTACAGATAATTGGATTAAAATCAAGAAGTGACAACTATTGTACTAGAGGAAGTAGTTTGGTTTTTTTTAAGCCTCTGGAACTTCATTTATCCTGCACTGCAGATGTCTAGGCACAGGTGTAGACTGATCCCTTTCCTAGGTGTGAAAATGCTTTGGCAGTCAGCTTGGTTGCACTTACATTTCTGCCGTTTGCTGGGGTCACAGGATTGTGACAATATTGCCAAAGCATTTCCAAACAGTGCTAGAGCTGTGGATTTCATCCACTCTTAACGGGGATGTGTACAGTTTGAGTTGCTCCATTCTTCTTTTCCGCTACAGCACATTTCACAATCCTGTATTCTGGGTTTAAAATTCATCAGACGAGGAAAATCCCTGTTGGTGCACTAAGTTCTAACAGAACAATACAGCGCTCTGTTTTGGTAGTGACGTTTTTTTTAAAAAGTAAGCCTTTTTTTTTCCAGACTTTTGAAATGTTGTGCAAAGAGGAAAATAGTAAGCAGATTTATTACTGTAGTTGAAGCACAGAACTGCAATCAGATAAAAGCAGTCAGCAGGCAAAAATGCCTAATCACCTTTAGAAACATGATGAGGTCTGTTTTTTGAGTGTGCTGAATTACTTTTTCAAAGAAATGTTAATCTGTAGAAAACAAAATTTGTTTTGTTGTGGCGTAACAAGTCATACATTTTATCAATTATATTGTACACGGCTAAAGAACGCAAAAAACACCAAAAACAAAGTTGCTATGTTTAATAACTACCTGGACAAACTTGGGCAAAATAAATAAAGATGGCAAACTAAGATGTAAAATAAGATCTGTTGGAACATATAGCAAATACATGCATCTTTTGTTTCTCCCAGTTCACTTCACAGAAGAAAGCAGGCATTTTTAATGTACCATATTAATGTCCTTTAGTGTATTAAGTTAAGATCTCTTTATTGGCCATATACAATTTCGTGTATTAGGAATTTATTTTTGCATACCCCAGCTTGCTCTCCATGAGACACACAGACAGGGAGAGAAGCTGGGGGTCAGACATATATACGGCGCCCCTGGAGCAGTTGGGGTTCAGGGCCTTGCTCAGGGGCCCAACAGAGTAGGATTCCTCTGCCGGCCGCGGGATACAAACTGGCAACCTTCCAGCCACAGGTGTAGATCCTGAGCCACCGCTCCGCCCATATTAATATCTGTGTCCTGCATTAGAAATGTGCATCATCGTAATGACAGCTCAGCTCCATTAATGATTGCATCTCAAGCCAGAAAGCTGTTTGCACAAGCTGTCCAATAATATCCTAGCGTTTTCCAAAACCAGTGATTGCTGTATTTAAGCGTCTGTCTAGTCAATAGTTTAGCACTAAGAAGTATAAAAATGAAATTATGTTCTAATGTCAAAAAGTAATTGGGTGTGGTAGTAGTGTACACAGGATTTAAGTTGTATAAGCCACTTTTACATTTACAGCAAGAGTGAACCATATCCACACCATACAGAAGCTTGGCTTTCTCTGTTGAAGCAGCACATTCGGCAAGTGGCATTTCAAGTTTGATATACTTTGTAGTTCTGATGCAGGGATTTATTATGCCTTTTTAAAATACTGTGTAGCACCAGTGCTGTGCATTTGTTCTGTTCTTTTTCTGAGGTTAATGTTATTGCAGTCTCTAATGTGAAGCTAAAAATGCTAAAATGTGCCCTGCTGAAAACTATAGCACCAGCTTTCTCTGTGGTGTGGTATATTTATTAATTTGCCTTAATAGTTGTGGAGGTTTGCTTCTTATATTGCTATAAAGGGTTCACCTGTTAGGCATAACTAGGTTCCACTGGTTTTTCAACCTGCAGAATCCTGTATTCCCTGTTTAGTCTATCTGTGAAACGCATTGTGTCAAGAGTTCTTTTTCTTGGGAGCACAGTTCAGATCTTTGACTTTCTGCTCTATCAATCACTCTTTCTTACTGAGGACTACTTTTCCTATTCTATGCCCAAGTACTCCTCCCATGAAGGTACAGTATGAGCTGATGTAGGTTTTCTGTGTGTGGAATCTTTTTAGCAGCATGGAGTTCTTGACATTTCCTTTCTGTGCTTAACCCTGCTGTTTCTTTTCTCTCTCCTTTTCTTAACCTGCTTTCCGACTGTGCAGATCGCCTCTACCAGCAACTTGAGAAAAACCGCCTTCTTACTAACGAACTAAAGCTGGCCTTGAATGAAGATTAAGTGTAGTTTGGTTTCTTTAACTCAGAGCTAGAAATATGTTTATGCTTCCCTAGAATGGCATGTGTAAGAAGGAAGTTGTGTGCATATTAACACAAATAATGCTAGAGATCAGACGGCATTTTAATTGAACCAAAAGGATAAAATTCAATTAAATGGTGGCTGGTCACTGCCACCTTCCCTACAGGAAATGAGTTGCCCATCCTTTCTAATTAAGCTAATTTATTGTAAATGGATTGCATTTAATGCATGCCCTTTAAGATTTTCAG